TGATGAGTCTTTAAATGTTATATTTTATTCTCTCATATTAGCCCGTTTTAGCATGTTCCAAATGTATTTTATACACATTTAATCACTATTATCTTCATATAGCAAGTTAGGCCATCATTTATGTTTTGATCATAAATTGCATTCTTTTGAGTATTCTTTTACTTCACTATTTTTATTATCTCATTTACCTTGACGTAGGTCTTAAAAATTGTTTTACGAAGCATCAAAGGGCTCGGTGACGATGTCAAGTTAAATCCCGGGGAAGCTGTCAAGAATCATACGAAGAATTGAAATGGGCCAAGTCACACAGGGCATGACCCAACAGTTCCGAGCAGCCCACCCAAGGGACAATCCAAACATCTTCAAAACTTAAACCTGCGCCACTCTTCGATCCTTCCAGCGGCTAACAAGAACGCCGCAACATAGAGACTCTGATTCAAACTGGAGTCCTAATTCGAGAAGAAGATCTCAAGCGCAGCAAATAGGAAAACCCCGACTAAATCTTGGAGTCCTAATTGAAGACGAGAAGCTGATTTTCAGTCCCTATAAAACGCAGCTGGCAGCAGCGAAGGAAGCAGAGAAGACAACGAGGGGAGAAGACGACGAGGGCAGTGGCTGGTAACGTGGACTGAAGTCGCAGAGGGTACGACCCTAAGGGGGTCTGGACTTCGGTCCAGATCCTCCAATTCTTCTTTCTTTATGTTTTTCCTTTGTTGTTTTCTTTCAACAATAGCTATTCAAAGACTTCCAGTAATGGTTTCGATTCTTGTTCGTGATATTGTTAAATGTGTGTTGTCTTGATCACATATTTTCTGAATTTTTGAAAGAAGGATTGAACCTAAGATTTTATCATTCTTGTTTGAAGGATTCTGTTTTGGAAGCCTGTTTAGCCTTTGTGTATGTTCAGTACATGTCGTTTTGGTTTGAATCTGGATTGCTTTAGATTAACTAGTCCCTGATATTATCGAGCCTTCCTTATCAAAACTATTCAGCACCACAACTGAATCTTTGATTCAAGATTTTGTTGAGTAAATTGGTTTTGAGGGTGTTTGAGCCTTAGTGCTACGGTTGGTTGAAACTCAAAAATGGTGTTTGAAAACTGATTTTGTTTATGCTTGGATTAGACAAATTTAGGATGGCCATCTAATTCCAAAATTGATAGTTTTGATGTCTTAAGTACATTAATAGCGGAGATTTTCAAACACAAGTGTCACCCGATTAATACTTAATTGGCTCCCACCCGGTTTTTATTAATTGGAGTTTTCAAACTGGCTATGTTAAATAGATATAGTCTACTGCATAGTTGTTAAGTGATGTTTTCCAAAGAACTTAATGCTCTATTTTTAATTAAATCTAGGGGCAGGTCCTTGGGTTGTTAAAAATAGTAGGGTCTAGAGTTAGGGCAGGACTTAACATAGGCTATACTAGGGAGAATAGGGAAGAACCGCAGGTGGATTTCTTCTTCAACTTAACCCAAGAGTTTTGTCAATCATTTTAATTTGGGGTAGTTCTAATTAATTTAAGAATCTGGGTTTGATCAATTCGTTTTTAAAAACCATAAAGTATTTTCAAAATCAGTTTAAGTTAATTATTATCGTTTACGTTTTTATAAAGTTTAAAGTGTTTTTTTGTTTTGTGTTAGTGTTGTCCTTGTGTGTCTGCTTCCTTGTTCTAGCTCTGGTTGAGTTTCTTTGCCCATCTTATCCTTTTTATTTATTTTTATCTTTCCAATTTATCTTTTAAAATCCCCCGAATAGGTAGCTCTTTTATTAGTTGTTTTTAAATGAAAAAAAAATAATGTAAAACTTAAGTAATTGATTTTCATAAAATAAAGAATATCTTTCTCCGTGGGATCGACTCTTATTTACCCTAGCTATAAACTATTAATTTAAAATTAAAGAGGGGATAAGAAAAAGAATTAATTTGTAGGCACTACGACACGCCTAACAAATTTTGGCGCCGTTGCCGAGGAAAGATTACTTTTTATGAGAACCAATTTGCTTGAGTAAAAAAAAACAAAAAAAAAATTTTTATTTAAAAAAAAAGCCTTTTCTTTACATTCTGTTTCTTTTCCTTTTTCAAGTCAGAAGTAATACTTTGAGTGTTTTGCCTCCTGTTGGGTCATTTTCTTAGAGTTAGCAACAGTTTTGGTCAAGTTATATACTTTACGATGCAAATTAAAATGTCTAAGGATGTTTTGCTTGTAAAATCTGATCTGGACAGCATTAAAGGAAGTCCAGACTAAAATAAGAGAGCCCCTGGACTTTATATGGCCTTTTTAATGAATATCATGAATGGTTTTGGAAAATTGCTTCTCTTAAGTAAGACGAGGTTCATTTTTAGATGCTCTAAGGAACTTATTTGTCATTTTCTCTACAAGAATAAAACGAAAAGAGCTTGGATACTAAATGATAAAAGTGTTGAACTAAAACCAAATAACAAATCAGCCCTTTTTGCAGCACTTAATCAAGTGATAAAGATAAGTTTTAAGAATTCTAATACCGTTCTTGTTTCAAGTTGCAGCTTTGTGTACTTTGCATGTTGTTAAGGAGTGGAAGAGTTATTGGAGAAACAATTGAGCTAGGTTACAATCACCAGGTAAGTGTGGCTGGACTTGACTCTTTTAATTTCCAA